TAGCATCAAAGCTGATAATTGAGAATGTCTTTATTTCGTTAGCAAAGAAATGAGGAATTATATTCTTTTTGCATCTTTCCAGGTTTGCAAATTTGGAACTTCCTAGAAACTGAACATTTTTTTTCGTTCCCATACATCTCTTACTTGGACACTTCCCTGTAAATTATATGGCTACACAATGTGATTCAGTTGTACAAACATCATGTCTATTTAAGATATGGTTCACCAGTTTTTATACTTATATGTATGTATTGTCTATTATGTGGTGTATGTTCTATCTTTATAGATGCTTCAATTCGAGATTTACACCTCTATTTTGTGGTCAAAAGAACTTAGATGAAGCACACAGCAGCCCTGGATTGCATGCTGCAGCTGGACCTGGTCTTGCAGAAGAATGTGCCACACTGGTAGGTTCTCTAATGCATGAATATGTAATTGGTAATTTAATTTTGATTGCATATTTTCTGAGCTGGTTTGCAAATAGAAGTTGGAGTATGACATGACTTGTGGCAAACTGTTGAAGTTCCACTTTGTACATTCGGACATTCCTTCTTCTAGCTTAAGGAAGTTATCTTCCACCTTTCTAAATTTTCTACTGTTCAATTCAACTGATGATGCTGGAAAGACTAAAATATGGTTTACTTTTCCTTCATAGGGAGGCTGCCGAACTGGAATGGCAAAAGTTACAAATGCTTATGATCTTCCTGCTAGGTGAGTGTACGGGGTCATTTTGTCAGCCTTGTGCGACATGCTTTTTCCATTATCCCCATTGTTCTGCATGCACTAAATGTGAAGAAACATATAACAATGTCTCACTTGTAACAAGTACCCGTCCTAAGCATTATCCTTTTCTTTCGGGTCAATAACTTTATTTTTCTCTTTGTTGATGTGCCAGATTATTCTCTTTAATTTTCAAGTAAGGAAATTAGCCGTTTTCTTGTATGTCCAGTTTTTTCTGTATAGACATAATTATATACTAAAAGAAAGAGAGAACAAAGGGAGAACACTGTGAAACCAAACCAAGAGTGTTTCTTAAAAGGAGCGTGTACTCTGAGAAATATACCTCTTAATCAATATTATGTGGGTTGGTTTGGAAAATTCTGCATGCCAGCTAAGTTGCAAATATTTGACATATTCATAAGGAATTTCAGTATGCACAAACAGCTTACACTTTGTTTGAGTTTCTGTAATAAGAATCCAATATGTCAGAAGTTAAATAAAAATCAATCTTATTTCAGGTGTACTTTCAAAGTGCTTATCGATTCATTGAAATCTTTAATGAGGAGTTACTACCTATTTCAATAGTCATGCCACTATATCTTGCTATATTTCTTCACACCTGAGCAATTTATAACAGTCGAAGCATTCTGGCACCTTAATGTCTTTGCTGATAAGAAAATGGTGATTCATACTTACCCCAACACAAAAAAAAGAAAGGAAAGTGTGACTTCACTTAATGTTTAAATTTCCATTGTAATTTCTGAGATTTGCATCATGGTTGTAAAGGTGAGGGAGCTACGTTTCTGTATCACCATTTAAGCTACTAGTAGATTCTGGTCTGTTAAAGTTAAAAGCAAGAAATAATGTGTTCTACTTCCTTTGAACTTTGTTTTACATGATCATTTATCACAACACTAGCATTAGTGGAAGACATGCAGCATTATATAACTGTTGACCTTATGCTGATCTTGTTTCTTGCATTGTGCAGGAGGGTCATACACACTGTTGGTCCCAAATATGCTGTAAAATATCATACTGCTGCAGAGAATGCTCTAAGCCATTGCTATCGCTCTTGTCTTGAGCTTCTAATAGAAAATGGGCTCAAGAGGTTGTCTCATTGTCATAAATGTAGTCTGTTACATTTTGGTCCACTGATATTGATTATTAAAGAAAACTAAAAAAGCAGCAAAATTTATAGAAAGACTGATCTTGATTTTAAGGTTTCACAATTCGGAAGTTGCACCTAACCATGTTGTACCATGTGGATGCAGCATTGCTATGGGCTGTATATACACAGAAGCGAAAAATTACCCACGAGAACCAGCTGCTCATGTGGCAATAAGTGAGATATCTCTGTTTTCTATTTTCATAACTTCTCTATCAAGCCCTTATGTTCCTTAATTGATATTCAAGTTGCAGATA